TTTGACATTCACTGTTTTAGTACGACAACAATGTGGGATGATAACCCTATCAAATTTTGATAGGGAAATACGACCATCAGCTAGCTATGCGGGTTGCAGCTCATTGTGCAGTTCATAAAAAGTTAATAAACCCTTGGAAATATCAGTGGTTGCACAACAAAAGAGTTGGGCCCCTTAAACAAAAGCGAGCTTTTGATTTTCCAGTTGATGTTGTGGTTTCAAAGTGCCCGGCAAAACCTTTGACCATATGCGCTGAAAATGATCCAGAGGGAGGGTACTTCCGATGATATAGCAAGAATACCCTTAAGATTGGACTTAATCCTTATGCATGTAAACGAAATCTGCATAAATATAGTAAATTTGAAATAGGTCATACGAGGGCTAACTTTTATATTCGTAGCCCAATAGTGAAGAACCAAGAAAATAAAATGAAAAATGCTTTTATTCTTCTAAAAAATATTCTCTAGGACGATGAAAGCCCATTCTGAAACGTGTTAAACTATTTTTGCAGTATTTTTTGCACTCAGAAGGAAGTATCTCTAAAACAAGGTTTCATCAGCCTCTTTTGGCGTCGAAAATCGATTGTTTTCTTATAGTTGGAAATATTAAAGGTGGACCCCCTGGATTTAATATTTTGGGTGGTCAGAAAATCAACGTTTGAGAGCTCGGCTTGTCATAGCAAAGTACAATCCGTATTTGGGGGCTGGTTGTCCTCAATTCTCCAAATGGTTGTGTACCGCTTAGAATTTTTTTTTCCAATTTTCTTCAGCAAAAAGTTGCGACAGGACCGATTGTTGTTGACTATATTAAAAAAAAAATATGACCATTTGGTTTGAAAAACTTTTGCGTCATTTGATTCGCTTTTAAACACTCATAGCATACATTTCTGTTTTGTTTCGGACTTAAATTCATATCACCATGATTAATAATTTCTTCCATTTCTTCGTTCATGTAATGTTGAATTTATCTTGGTCCCAAATCCCACACAGCATCCATTTTTTCCGGTACATCAAACCTTTTTGATGTATAATACTGAATTCGTTTTACCAGTATGTTTTAAAATATAGTTTTAAAGTATAGAAGAAATAGCAATATATTTATATTCTTTCCCCGAAAACCTCAAGAAATATCATCATAATCTGTCTAGAAAGGGTATAAATAGGCAACGATTAAAACCACCCCAGTGAAAATCGTATACCTCAAAGAAAGTCACACCACCAAAGGCAAAGGGATTACTGGACGTATTTCCAGGGGGACGCCTGGCATATGGCCACTTGGCAGCGTTGAAAAATCAACGAAGGATATGCTAACAACACCATATAGGATGGGTTAACAATTGTCAAATAACCACAGGACATGCACATGAATGCTCCTCCTGTGTGATTTGTGATTGCATGTGCGGAAGAAAGGACACCCAAAGGTGGGATGGATAAGTTGGCCAGTTGCTTTGATCCTTGATTGGACCTAGGCCCACTCGAGAGCCCATCTGGACCAGCGTCTAACTGACTGACAGACGGAGTGATTGATGAGCTTCGAAGCACACAGCCCAGCCGTGGAGACAGATTTGAGAGTTCTGCATCAGCGAATGCTTTAATCGAGTTACGGGGACGACCGACTTGAGCTTCAAATTAAATGGTGTCAATGTCAATGGTGTCCTGCCATAAAAAATGATGACCAGAACAGATAAAATGGCTTTTATGTTATTGCTCCACTCCACAGGCCACGGGCCAAACTGCAGACAGAGACCGCAAAACAATATTTAAATTTCAAAAGTTGCGAAGTGTACGAGTTAAATGAAGCAGAAGCAAGATTGTTGTCACAGGGCAAAAAAACATTTTTGGAAGTCGGTTCGATGGAGGGGTGGATCGAAAACAAAGACAGAAAAATAAATGGTTAAGGCTGGAGTGTGATTCTTTGTCGGCACAATATACAATATATTCTTATACGTATGTATTTTTAGCACTCCTAACAGACCACGCCCATTAAATTAGATTGACACTCATGGCGGACACATTTTTGGAAATTGATCCCAAGAACCTGCCGTCCAGCATACAACTATCAAAGTTATCGTCATAAATCATACATCAATAGGATGGGACCAGGGAAAAAAAACCCTCACAGGCGCACGCCTCCCCATCTGTGACAGCAGCGCCAGCTAATGATGTCTTAAAAAACGATTCGGGAACTGGTCATGTGACACCAAATGAGGGGGCCAATCGATGTCCTCAGGTCAAACGCATTATCAAAATTGCCGTTTCAGCTGCCGAGGACGAGGACCAGTAGCAGCCGTAGAGAAGGATGTGAATGTCTGGGAAATTGAATTTCTACGACCCTAAGTGGTTCGCACCAGAAAACCTCCGCAACAGAGTAACAATATTTTTCCAAATCGGCTTTAAGTCATGAAAAATAATAGACAACCCAACCCCGAGCCCTGCTCGACGAGGCCGAGTAGTAAAAAGCAGATTGCGAGGCGCGTCAGCCAGGCCAGGAGACGATTGTGGAACACATGCTGTGCGCATATGATGACTGACTGACGACGACGACGATGGTGATGATGATGACGGCTTTGCCGCTTATCAACAAGGGAACACGCATGGGTGGTAGCAAAATACGAGAGGAGCAGGCTGGCCAAGCAACATGTGAGGATTATAATATATGCTATAGAAGTAATTGGTCCAAAAATGGGCACCACCACCAAAAATGAGGTTTTAAGAGTAGTACAGGTATTTGTATATATTTAACAGAAACTAAACTTACGTCTACTCTACATCGTCCGGTATCTCAGAGTCCTCAATCGTTCGCGTTGCGGGTATATACACTTTGAAGGCAAACTTGGACTTGACGAAGGAGCCGGTATTGAGCACAGTGCAACCATGCTGGGTGCTACTAAAGCTCTGACAAGAATCACCCATGACTATCAGATCAGGCAGCGGATAGAGCCACAGGGCCGGATCATAATCCCAATGCACGGGCATGGCAATGGGATGTATGGGCACCAGGTGTCCCTGGCACACAATTGTTCTGGAAAAGTGCTGCTCAATTTGGGAGGTGTCTTCGGGAAAGTGCAGCGTATTGCGGCAGAACTTTGCCATAAGATCCAGCCGGCAGACTACGATCTGTTGCGTACAATACTGAAGCCGGCAGGGATTTGTTGCCAACTGCGTGCGTGGCCAGGCCTTGAGCAGGCCTGCTGCCAGGCATTCTGGTATCGGAGCTCGCGGCAGAATGTTTGGGGCCGACGGATCCTCGGTGGAGGGAACGAGAATCAAATCTGTTTGCTTTTTCAGTTGCTCACAACCGGCTGCCAGACCGCCCAATGCATCCAAATGCTGACGCAGCTCGTGATGGTTGCGGGTGCTGGCAGTGAACGGTCCCATGAGGACAATGGCCTGGGGCGGACAGGAATCGTAGCCGACAAAGAGCTGTCGCAGCTTTTCTACGACCACAGGAAGATCCAGACGCACATCAGACAGAAATACGATTGTGGTTTCTGTATTGGTGCGTTCCAGCTCTTGCAGACGCGGAGAGTACTTCAGTAGCTTGGTGGACTCGCCGCCCCAAGTGTTAGCTGTACCGAAGAAGGCACGGCTGCTAGTAGCTGGCTCAGCAGGAGGAAAACCCAGGCCATCAACTGAAAAAAGGATGCGGTTACTCATTTGATTGAAAGCAACATATTGGCATACCTTTCAAGACGCCATTGGAATAGTTGCCCTCAGCCAGCACAAAGCAGCCCTCGCAGAAGAAGCCGGCGTGGAAGCGAGCTCCACTCAAATCCAGCTGGATAGAGCCAGTGGGATCTTCCACGTAGAACTTGCCCTCCTTCAGCTGGGTCAGCAGTCCCAATACCACAGCCTCCCTTACTGTGGAGGTGGCCAGCAAATTTTCTGCGAACTGCAGTTTGAACTTTTTGGCCTGGGCAGTCGCGCCAACGCCGTCCTGGATGACCGCCGGAGCAAACAAATCGTGACGCAGTGTCTTTTGCAGCAGCATGGCATAGCGCTGCTGCATATAGTCGGACTTCATACGGGGAGCGCTCAACAACTGCCGCGGCGTCAGATCCGGCTCGAATTTCTTGATGCGCGTGTTGTAGCGGTACCGGGGCACTGTGAAAGCATCAATCAGAGCAAATACCGTCTCGCCCTCGTCCAGTCCTACACGGTTCAACTCATTGATGGCCTTTTCCAGAGCCGGCCGTTCCACATGCGGCGTCGCTAACTTCTGTCCCTGCAGGTTCTCTGTGATGACAGTCAGCCATTTGTCCCGCTCATCCGCATCGAAGGGCAGAAGTTGCTCTGCCAGATAAGTGCTATTCTCCGACCGAATCAGAAAACCACATAGCTTGAAGTTATTTGTAATTCTTTTTCGAAGAGGAATTAATTCCGCGTCCATTTCGATGATGGAAATTGCGCGCAATTTAGTGATGGTACAGCAGTGCTGCTACTTTAGCGTGTTTTAGGCTAGATCTAGCATTTTAAAGTGACTGCTTACAATATTGAGAAAGAAGCTGTTTAGCATATTTTTTTATATGCAATCAGCTTGTTTATGCTGGTAATGTTCTCTTCTGGATTTTATCGGTGCATAAAAAGTGTCGGAACTAGTTTTTTGTGCACTTCATGATTTTAAAATATAGGCTAAATTGAAGAAACATACAAAAAAAAACATTTTTCGGTATATTGCAAATTTACATATCACTTCAAAACCAAAAAATACTGTTGTATATCATAAAGGGAGGATGGGATAGGAAGTCGACGATGTTCTTAATTTATCGCTAACTTAAATAAAAGCACAACTACAGAATTTTGTTCATTTTTTTGTGGTATTCTAATTTGTAGCCTCTCTAATTTCGGTCTCAGCCATTTTTGTTTTGTTCGCTTGTTTAGCTTGTCAGCACTGGTCTGTCTGTAGGCTCGAAATATCAGTGTTGCTTTTTCAATACAATCAAAATTATCGATACCAAGTCAGCGCCTTAAGCAAATCGTCTTCAAAATGTCTGACAAATGCATGGACTTCAATGAGTTCTTACCATACATCGGGGAATTCGGAGCTTATCAGAAACGCCTTCTTCTGTACATGATGCCATTTGCCTTTATGTTCGCTCTCATTTACTTGGCGCAAATTTTCATATTACTTGTGCCCCATGACCATTGGTGCCGCATAGAAGAGCTAGAGTCTTTTCCAAAAGCAAAGCAAATCGAACTTGGAATCCCAAAAGACAAGCACGGAGTTTTTGACAGGTGTTCAATGTACGATGTCGATTATAAGCTTGCGTCCACTGAAACAACTCCAAATGAAAGTTGGCCTCAGATAAATTGCCGAGACGGTTGGATGTATGACAAGGGTCAGGTTCCATATGAAACCATTTCCACGCAGTACCATTGGGTTTGCCAAAAGGATAACCTTGCTACATTTTCGATCGCTGCCAGCTTTGTGGGGTCAATGTTGGGCTGTCTGACCCTCGGATACGTTGCAGATCATTGGGGCCGCATTCCCGCTTTGTTTATTGCCAATGTATGTGCCTTAGTAGGCGGTCTTCTGAGTGCTGTCTGCACGAACTTTTACACCTTTGCCGCGGCCAGTGTCCTGCAGGGTTGGTCATACGATACTTGCTTCACTGCCTTTTATATACTATGTGGGTTCGCTTTTACATTTTGGCAGTATAGTTCTACTGATATTTCACCCTAGTGATGGAGACTGTGGGCCCACAATATCGTTCGCTGACCGCCAACCTTTCGCTGGCCACTTTCTATACTATAGGGGCATGTGGACTCCCCTGGATAGCCTATGCCTGCAACAATTGGAGGACATTCGCTGTGGTCACCTCAGTGCCCATAATTATATTGATCGTGATATGTCTGATAATTCCCGAATCACCTAGGTATGTTTTTCCTCTGAATTTTCATGCATTGCTGAATCATCCTTTACTCAGGTGGCTCCTCTCCGTGGGGAAAGTTAAGAGGGGGTTTAAAATTATAAAAAAAGTGGCCAAGATCAATGGGAAAACAGTTCCCGACGATGTAATGGTCGCCTTTCAGCAGTGCAGCGAAAAAGCCTACCTCGAGGAACAATCCGCTAAAAAGTACACTCTTCTGGATATTTTTAAAAGCTGCCGAATGTGTCGAATTTTACTGATACTGATCGTAAATTGGATGATTATAGCACTGGTGTACGATGCTCATGTGAGGGTTATCACCAATGTGGGAACGGATATATTCATCACTTTCTCGCTAGCAAACCTGACCGAGCTACCGGGAGGACTAGTTCCACTGGTCCTAATGGATCGAACGGGGCGGAAGATCATGCTATTTACGGTATTAATGCTCTGCGCACTCGGAAGCTTGTTGGCTGGTCTGTTCAGCAGGAAATGGGATATTGCTATAGCGGCTATTTTTGGTCGACTAATGGTTACGATTGCATATAATGTGGGGGAGCAGTGGGCGGCGGAGATACTTCCGACTGTCGTGCGGGGTCAAGGACTGTCCCTCGTGCATGTTATGGGAGCCGCTGGAGCAGTATGTTCGCCATTCGTGGTTTACTCGGATGACTATTCCGCATCGCTACCCATGAAAATACTAGCGGGGCTGGCGGTGGTTGCAGCTGTTTTGGTCTTATTTTTGCCAGAAACTACAAACGTTGCCCTGCCGCAGACTATAGAAGAAGCGGAGACTCGTTGGGCACAGAAATTTTGGTTTCAGAAAAGGAAATTATAGTTCCCATGCAAATACACTTTTTAAATAAAAATATTTGGCGCGCAATAACTCCCTTTTTGTAACAGCAGTGGAAACCAACCAGCCATTTACGATATTTTAAATACTTTCGGTATTTTTTGACATCGAATATTTTTCTAAGAACGAATTGTGTGGGATGTAATCCAGAAAGTTCGTTTGCGACATATTCGGTGTATGAACTGGCACATCTACATATATACTGCATGGTTAGTGCTCGTGTCCAGAATATACCATCTTTGCTTCTCCAGTATGTATCGTGGCCTTTCCAGTATTAATCGGCTATGGGTTTCTATCGTTTTCAAATGAATATCATCCCGCCATAAACCAATCTTGATTCATTAATCAGATAAGATTATGTGTTCAGGGCTGAGGGTTCTAGCAAGCTACTAATAATATGATTTCCTCTCATGGAAACCGAAAAATTAACCCATTGTTGACCAGTGGACAAAAATGAAACCTGAAGAATTTTAGCGCAATTCCGGTGAGAGATAACGTGGTAATTAAATTTTAAAGTAAGTAATAAGGATGGATCTACAAGGAGAATTAACGAACAGTATTATTTTCCGCGGTTTAGCTCAAAGTGTTCACCTATTTAAATAAAGGGGGGCTCAGTGGGCTAAGTTCGTTTTTTTCATCGGTATGCTTCGATAAAGTTGTATCGACAAATAAATGAACGCACGTGTATAAAAAGAATTGCTGTTGTTCTCTTCAAAATGGATGTTGTCAAGGAAGTTTTAGCCAAACACCAAAAGGAATTGGAAAAATACAAGCCAATTACTGTAGATAAGCACCTGGAATGCCGCCTGGATGTGGGAACACTACTGATTACAGATCCCAATGACTTTGATGACCGGGAACTCAGGTAAGAATGTGCTTCTTTGTATTTCATAAATCAATGGTAGTAAATGTAATATTCACTGCTCACAGGGACAACAGAGAGGAGTACTTGACTGCCCTCACCCGAGACAACACCCAGCTGCTGCTCAATGCCATTTGGGAGTTGCCCACAGAGCGTGTGGATGAAAGCATTGTAGCCAAGCTGCCGGAACCAACAACAGTCCTGCCGCGTCTCCGTAAAGTACCTGGCCCGCGTCCGCTTACCAAATGGGAGCAGTTTGCCAAGGAGAAGGGCATCACCAAGAAGAAGAGGGACAAGAAAACCTACGATGATACACTGGATGTAAGTTACTTCAATAACCCCATCGGGGACACATGCTAATTTTTGCTCATTCACAGAAATGGGTGCCCACATACGGCTTCAAGCATGCCGAAGCTGAGAAGAGCAAGGACTGGGTACTGGAGGTGCCGCAAAATGCTGATCCCAACACAGACATGTTCCAGAAGAAGATCGATTTGCGCAACGAAAAGGTGGCCAAGAACGAAATCCAGCGAATGAAGAATATTGTGAGGGCCAGGAAGGTCGATATGCCGCGCAGTGGTTATCTGGGACCAGAGGCAGCCTCGTCCAGTCAGCTGCTTACAGCTGTTACCGTAGCCAAATCTTCTACGGCTTCCGTCGGCAAGTTCCAAAACAAGCTTCCCAAGGAGAAGGAGGCACGTGGTCTGGGCGTAAAGGAACTGATACCGGGTGGCAAGCGCAAGGCATCCCATATCACAAGCAACGAAAGGGAGGCCAATTTGGATCTCATCAAGAGTGTGCTGCACAAAAAGCCCAAGCTGAACGTGGACAAGGCGATATCGATGCAGAAGGAAGAAGATCGCTTGGCGTAAGTTGTTGCCTCGATTATGACAAACCTTAAGTAACCTTAACCACTCTTTCAACAGGCGCGAAGCTGAGGGCGCACCTGCCAGAAAGGCCAAACCAAAGGGCAAAGGCAGTCGCAAGGCAGTGGGCAAGAAGCCGAAGGGCAACCACGGCCAGCGTGCACCCGGCAAAAAGGCCCAGGCTGGGCGCAAACGTCGCTGAAGGATAATCAAAGGCCTCAGGACATTTTTAATAACAGAAAACAGCATAATACACTTATGAATAATAAATGATAGACAATAAGACATACCATAATCTATGTTCGATAAAAACGCAAGTTGATGGGGGCTGTGTGTCTAACCAAATATTCGTACACAAAGTTGCGGAAAACGCGATTGAAATTCCGTATGGATGGCCAATGGAGATTGGCAGCGTTATCTCGAGGTGTATGCCAAGTGTCTGGGAAAGGAGTGGCCACCAAATGCAGTATGGGCACATCTGCAGGAAAATACATATCAGAATTATAGGATTATCTACAAGAAAAGGCAACTTACTCTCCTCCAAAAACGGACGATGATCATCATCAACAAAGCCCCCGGAAAGACGATTTAAAAACATGTTATTATTGCCCTCTAGGCGACCAGCAGCGCGCAGGGATTTCTCAATCTGCACTAGACTGGAGTGCAGACCATGGGTGTTCTCATAGAAGCTTGAGAACTTGGGATTACGTGCACCAATTAGGTCTAGCAGCACAAGCACTTCAATGCGATCGATATTACGCGACGCCAGCTGTGCTTGGCCACCAGCTTGTACTCCGCTGGGTGTACGGGCCAATTTAGAAGCCAGATGCTTGGATCCATAGACTGAGTCAGCGTTTGTCCATTCCTTGAAAGCCTCCTCACCATCAAAGAAGATGAGCTGCAGAGAAAAACCTCCCATTAGTCGATGTGTGCGGCTTTCACTTCCAAACTTACCATAAGCCCAACATCGTTACGATTGCGAAACTCTTTTGTTAGATAACTGCTCAGCGTCTTGGCTGTGTTCAGCAAAATAGCACAGGGCACAGCCGAGTCTGTGGCGCCCACAAATCCGGGATCATTGGGGAAGTACTTGCTGTCGTAGTGGCAAGCCAGGGCCAAGAAGTTCTGAGCCCGTGGATTGATGGTACCCACGACATTGCCGAACGTTAGTTCGCCTAACACTGGCACACGCTGCTTGAACTCATCGACTTCCGTTTGGAAGCCAAGGCCATTGAGTGACTGCACCAGGTAGTCACGCACCTGTTGATGCCCACGGCTGCCAACGACGCGTGGCACCAAAATCGAGTCGAGAGTTCGGTTGAAGTGCGCCTCATCGTCGCTCCACGGCGATGCAATCTGGAATTCAAAATTGGTAATTACCAACCAACTGTGATTTCCCAAATGAGTCACAATGCTCTCTTACATTTCCGCCCGCTTGGGCTTGGGCTCGAGCTTGCTGCTGCTGTGCGTGTGCGGAGTCCGTGGAGAGAAGGCAGAGGTAGAACAAGCCCCAGATCAAAGGCAGCGACTTGGGAACGAGCTCCATCTTCCACATCTGTAAGCTTTGGAGGTCGGAAATCTACAGCTTTGGAGGTTGGCGCTTGTTGGCGCTTTGGAGGTTGGCGTCGCAGTGACTTGGACCGACGCCAGAAAAACAATCTTTACCGCTTTATGATTTTGCTGTGGCTTTTCGATTATGTTTTTGTCTCTTTGGCGGGCAAACTATAACGAAAGCTTGGGGCCTTGGTTGATGAGAGAGAATGAATGGTGGGAGAGAAGAGGAGCTTTTGAGCTGGGCAGCTTTTAGCTAGTACGCGAACCCACTCCGCGCCATGACCTTGATTAACGTTAAATGGAGATCAATAAAATTGTTTGAATTAATCAGATCAATTTAGATGCGGTTTATTACTATACAGAAAGCAAACACTCAACAGTTAACTATCCAGACGGTACGTGGTATCATCATCATGATTCTCCAAGTATTCGTGCACAAATTGGCGAATTATTGAGTTCATATTGAGAACAGTTGGCCAGTGCAAATGCGCCGCATTGTCCGCGGCAGTATGCCATACTTGGGGGTATCTGTAGGGAGCCAGATGCATCACTGGGACACCTGGCCAGACACACGAAGATTCTATGCATTCGATAATTAATTAATAGACCAAGTTACCTTCATCGAGAAATGGATAGTGATCGTCGGGCAGATCGTGGTCCTTTAATTTTTGGAATAACAAATGGCACGGGGCCAGCTGTCCCGATTCCCGCAAATCCAGTTCAATCTCCGCCAGGCGATTGTGAAGCATATAAGTGTTATCGTAGTGACTCATGTATGCCTGGGCAGGAGCACCAATGAAGTTCAAGGCAATAGCCAATTCCTAAGGGGAATAAGAAGATCTTCCCGTTTACCTCCTTTCGATTCCGGTTTAAACAACTTACAATGCTCTCCAAAGGCAGAGTCTCCATTCGGACAAATCGCTTTGAGCCTCGCAGGGCACTAGAATCTTTGCGATCTGTCGGCATTGGCTCATGGCCATCAAAAAATACCAGCTTAAAGGAAGATTAATCTTCAAAATAACAAATAAGATATCATGGAATCACTAAACATACCGCCAAACCAATATCTAATCGCTTGCGCAGCTCCTCCCTCAAATAGGGGCCCAGAGTCTTGGCCATGTTTAGGAGAATCGCACAAGATACTGCCCCATCGGTGGCTCCCAAATAACCCTCTACATCGGTCAAGTTCTCCGTATCGTAGTGACAGCAGAGCAGCAGGAAATTCGGTGCCTCCGGGTTGATAGTGCCCATCACGTTGGTAAAGGCCACGCCATCGACAAACTCGTCTCGGTCCGTGTGGAATCCCAGATCCAGTAGCTCCTGCAAGAGAAAATCGCGCACCTGCGAGTGTCCCAAGCTGCCGGGCCAGCGCGGCTTTAGTAGTCTTGCCAGCGTGGCATTCAAGTGATTCTCATCGTTTATGAACCGAGCCAAAGGCTTCACACCTGCCCAATGCAGCAGCAGGAAATTGACGAGTAAATAGAACAGGCACACACCCGTCACAATCCAAGCTAGCATCGAAGCGAGGGTCTGCTACGTATGAGCCACAATCGCAACTGACTGTGCCTCAACGAATGCCTGGGTAGGGGCGAACATTTCACAATACTTTAACTTGGAACCGATGCATTTGTCATGCCAGACGAGTTGCGTTTATTTACCTGAATAAATGCAAAATACGAATTCGAATCAGAATTTGAATTTCCTTTTTAATTAAGCTTCATTAATGTTTCCAACCCAGAGCAACACAGATTCATTGAACAATAAACGGACAAGAAATAGCCAATAGATGTTTTTATTCAATTGCGATTACCCCAAGAACCCTAAGTATTCTTCCAGGGTATCCCAACGTTCGGACTTCAGTTTTTAGCATGTTCAAATGTGTAGGTTTGGATCGTTTTCTCTGTGTCTAGCGTGTCTTGGCTGGAAATATGTGTCTTTCGCGGGGCTATCCTCGCCACTCGATGCATTTTGGTGGAACGGAACTCATCACGGGAGATCGTCCGCAGGCTGGAGCCTTGATGCCATAGGCGTTGGGGTCTTTTGACCCGCTTCGAGCCTGGACCACAGCAGGGCCCATGCCAGATACGCTGCTCCCTTCCGAACTCGGCGCCGTCGCTGAGCGTCTGGGGGAGATCATGGTTGAGGGTCTCGGGCAGAAAGAGTGCGAGGATTCCGCCCAGCAGTCCAAGGACGCCCAGAATGATCAGCATGAGGGAGGAGGAAACTTGGGAGAGAAAGACGACCGGTGGCGACATTAGCATAGACACATAGCCCATCGTATGAATAAAGGACACGCCCTGTGCTCGCACCACCGTCGGCAGCACCTCGGCCGCCCACTGGAGTCCGATGTTGTAGCAGATGTTGGCGAAAAAGCGTCCAGCCAACGCTGCTCCCAGCATATGCTTGGGTTTGCTCATACAGGCAGCCACGAGGCTGAAGATTCCGCTCAAGAAGGTAAAGACAAAGGCACACCAACGACGTCCGAAGCGATCCAGAGTGAGGATCACCAGAATGTTACCCGGCAACTCGGTGGCGCAAGCAATGGTGAAGAAAACAAAGACATTGTGACTGTCCAGGACACTGGCAGCCCGCACATGTCCGTCGTAGACCAGCGATATGGCCATCCAAATCAAGATCATAAGGACCATATAGCGAGCCATGCGCCCCTTCTTGAAGATCGAGCAAATGGTGAAACTTCGGCCCTGCAACTCTTCCTTGTAGAACTGCTGGCAACTGAACTTGAAGTGCTCAAAGACGACGGGAGGCACCGACTTGTTATTCCTACGTGCCACTCGCTTCAACAGGTCCACGGCATTGTCGATCTGACCGACCGACACCAGCCACCGCGCTGATTCGGGCAATAGCCAGAAGGAGAGCAGCGACAGGCAAATGGGAATGGCACACAAGGATGAAAATACTCGCCAATGTGAGAAGCCCAGAGCCAGCCACGGCATCAGCATGGTGAAGGGTGCGTAGAAGATGGCCAGGGACATGTTGGCCACAAAGGTGCGATACTTCGGACCCACATACTCGAGGACTGGTAATTGAACGGAGGTTAGAATGCACCTAAGAATTGCTGTGAACTCTGCTTACCGAGTATGTAGATCATGGTGAAACAAGTATCGTAGGAGGCACCCACGAGTAATCGCGTAGCAGCAAAGCCCGCAAAGTTTGTGGTAATCGAGGTGAAGAGACTTCCGATCAGGGCGAGGAAACAGCTGCTAACCAAAGCCGATAGGCGGCCACATAGATCGGCAAAGCGTCCGTAGCCCAGACCACCCAGAATCGATCCCAAAAAGAAGATCATCTGGGCAATGGTGGCATAGTATTGGCTATCGCAGACCCACCCAAACTCCATGGTGGCTGTGCGGAAGGGCATTTCCACCGTATCGAAGACATAGCCATTTTTGCAGGGAATCGTGGGCCATGTCGAATTCAGAAATATGCTGCGGTTGAACGCGAAGTGGATGGCCGTGTAGTTGGCATCGTACATCAAACAGTGGCTGAAGGAGCCATCCTCCTCCCGGGGTATTGAGAGTTCCTTGCGTTCTGCCTCGTCCGTTACAACCGACAGCTCCGGCACAAGGCAGTAAAAATTATGCGGTGCCAGCGTCATGAATATCTGACCCAAATACACAAAGGCAGCTATGAAGGTGAAGGGTATCATGAACAGGAAAAGAAGCTTCTGAAACAGTCCAAACTCCCCAATCATCGGCAGCAGATCGTCGAAGTCAAGGAATTGTCCGAGATCCACATATATTGAGCTTCGTGCCGATAAGATACCCGACCTTGAACCACTGGAATGAGAACTAAGATTCGCACCGATATTTTCGTTATATTTCACTCGAAGTTCTTCCAACGTTCCACCAGCCTGTAGTCCTTTATCCGCAGTGCTTCTTGATCTATTTGAATACGATTTGTATGGATTGGGACTTATTTCTAAATGATGTTATGGCTTACGGCGAACTTTTAATGGATGCTTCGCTCCTACTTGATTTTTTGCCATCTTTATTGTCTTTGTCCTTATTCGGGTGATTATTATTATTTTTCATATTTGGGTGAGACTATTTCTCTAAAATGACAAATAGAGCTCGACTCTTTGATTATTAATGAGGAACCTTTAACCTCAAAGCAACGGATTAGTCTCTTAATAGTTTGATGTTACGCTACCCCCCACCCCCTGAATATCCTTTAATCGGGATGACTTTGAACCATTACAGGCCACTGCATCGACTTCCTATCCTTATCATTTCCACAAGTGGAGCACATAAACCCGCCGACTCACCGGCGCCAGCACAAGACCTGCGGCTGACTCATCGCAGATTCATCGGACCTCCTGCAGAGCACTCTTGATGATAATTAAACGCGTTCACAAATCCATTCGAGAGCTAATTCTTGGCAGTAATTAGTGGTATTGGCAATGCCAGCACAGTTTCGAAGCGACCTGAAGGCAACTTCGGTGGGCCACAGCCAAAGCCACAGACGACCGAAATGTGCGACCGTAACCGCCTGTTGCTGTTCGTTTCGGTGGCAGCGCATGCGTCTGCCCCTGACACTACCTACTCACCTATCGTTTTCGAGCTTTCATTCATAAAAGCGATGGGATTTTTCGAAATCGGAGCCACAATTCTTGGCCCCACAAGGAGGCACGTCTCAGTCCTGACGCGACTTTCGATGGCAACGGTTCGCTGCGGAGCAATTCGTCCTGAGGTCCAACACTTCTGGCCGCATAAATATGCCCGGTCGTGCCACATAAATCAGTGTCATAAATCTGTTTGTCTTGTGAATGGAATTATGTGTCAGTGTCCAACGATAAGCGAGGCAGCGGCAATGCCAGGCCACAAAATATCTTAGACAGATTTATCTGCCGAGGGGGTGAACCAAAAAACAAACCAAGAAAAACCGAAAATAAATAAAGAAGCCGAAAAGAAAAACAACTCTACTAAGAAAAATTATCCGTTTGGCGGGAAACAGACAAAGTGCCCCCTCAAGCGAAAGTGTGGAAAGTCGCAGTGAAAGTGGCGGCTGCCGTTCTCCCCCTGGTCCTTTTGAAATGTTGTTATCCCGGAGAAAGTGAAGTGAGAGACACAGCACTCAAAGATGGCCATCTTGGAGTCTTGTTGCTTCTGGAAGAATGTGCGGATGGGCAGCTTTGCCTGTGCCATCTATACATTGGTATGTTCAGACATGTGTACATATTTCTGAATAATTTCCAATATTCAAATGAGAAATGATTCAAATAAAAACATACCAGTGCTTCATAAATTCCAAAGCCCATAGCCCATAGCTTAAGGAAAATTGGTCTTAGATTATATTATTAATAAATTCAAGAAGAGCCCGTAAGCTATTCTTGTAAAGTAAACAATTTAGCAAAGTTTAAAAATTCCAGTAGGGAAGCTTCGTGTCTACTTATAGCTACCCATAGCTAATTCAGGGAAAAACTCCAAGTTTGAAGAGTTCTTTTAGTACAATTTCTTTATAACTTTACACTTACCATAATTATCAGGAAAAACATGTATATTTTTCTTCAGAAAATCGTTTAGCAATCAATTCAAACAACTTTAAAAATGATTGAATGAATGGAATGGTATATATCATAAGGGCTTTGCTTTAATCCAAAAATTCTTGTCATATTTGCTTGCCTCTTAATCGAAAACCGTCAGTACGTGTATTACGCAAATTCCTTAAGCAAATATATTATTATAACACCCATTCAAGTCAAGTTTCATGCAACGCGAGCAATTACAACAGTTAATTGTCACTTACAGGGGCCTTAATAATAGGGGGTTCTTACACCAAAGTTTATGCCTCCTTTTTATATACAATACAGATTTACTTTGGCTTCTCGACGTTAATGTTCCTGTTCTACCTGCGCGAGGAACAGGAGTTTCTGTTGGGCCAACGCTCAGAGCCTGCGGGCGAGAGTATGCTGGAGAAGGGGGATGTGACTGTAGGTGAGGTTACACTCCCGGAACCCCTCCCCCACGACCAGACAATCGAGAGCGGTTAAATTACGTGTGATTTATGCTCTTTTTGCAGTGACTGTGATATTCAACGTTTTCTTTCTGTTTTGCTCCGTGCTGATGGTGCTATCCTCGGGACTGATGATAGTAGGTCTCCGTCGGGTGAGTGGAAATGTGAACTTATGTATCGCCGCTCGAGGCATCACCTTTATTGGCCGATTGCAGAATAAGCGTCAATTGCTGATACCCTGGATCTGCTTCATGCTGGCCGACCTGCTCATCGAGTGCTCCCACCTGATACACCTGACCCTCTCCCGGCGCGTCATATTCGATCCGATTGTGGGCTTTATCTTCACCATAGACTTCTTCATCCTGTGCCTCAATGTAAGCCGACCCATCGCGGGCTCTAGCTCTGACTAACACTCGGTAGATATTTATCCCCCCCTCAGCTCTACTGTCTGCTGTGCGTCATCTCCCAGTATCAGGCCTATCGGGCCCAACGATCGGAGCAGCAGGAGAACCCCACCACATCGGTAAGTGTTATGTGAATGTGTTGTTCGGCCCCCAAGTATGCTAAGCTCGACTCCATCCATCCAATCGCAACGTTCCCTTCCGCATGCATACACAAGCCTGTTGTGGTATTCACAGCAGCAGAAAAACTAAGCAAAACCCAGCAACAGCACCAACAGCAACAGCTGCAGCATCAGGCCCAGCTCCTGGGGGACGGATCCGGAAATGGTAAGCGCCAGTCGCGCCGTATGCTGGGTGCCGCTAGTCCCCTGATAACATCCCAGCGATTGACGAACTTCTCCACCATCACCGAGGAGGAGGAGCAGCAGTCCCGAGCAGGTAACCGACTTATGGTCGATTTGTGGTCTACCCACGGGTATTTTCAATTATCTAAGCATGTAAAAATACTTTCTCTTGTGCACCTTTAAACACCCCAATCCACAGGCCACAGCAATGGTCACCTTTCGGACCAGCCAGGCTCCAGTGTGGCGGAACCGGAGCTGGATATGGACTCGGGAAATGGAGAGCTGCAGGTGACAAAGCAAATAATTACTTTGGATTCAGTGGAGATGGCAGAAATCCAACACTGAGTTTGGATTATGCAAGGAACCAGCATTTCCCATCCCCCCACCCAATCTAGATTTTAGCCAACAATTCCCGGTGGAATTTTATTCAGAAATGAGATATTTTTACAAATGTTTGAGAGAGATGTGATGCGAGAATAAAAAGGACAATTCCAAAGAAATAGAATACGCATTGCATTCATATTCATTCCTCTTTGACAGTTCTGACGCATGGATTTCATTTGGCACTTCCTGCAGAGGCGGCTCCTCCAGTCTCATTCTTGGAAAATGATTCCAAAAGAGAGCTGCTTCCCAAAGTAAATCCAATGAATCAGAGATTCAGGAAGATAAAGGGAACAACAAACCCCTTTGTAATTATTTCTTTGCATAGAATTTCGCACTATAGTGGGACATTCTTTTAGCGAATGCCATGGAAATGTAGGCTGTGCTCAAAGTAGGGCCCTGCACTGTGCTCCACTGCATCCAAAGGAAGCCCCTGGAGTTGGAGAAATTACAATAATTATTCAAATGCTCAAGCTTCACCCATCCAGACAGCCGTAGGTCAAAGGGATGCTGAAAAAACAGAACCCAAAAAAACACACACAGACTTTCAAGACTTAATTAACTCTCGGTAAATGCTGACTGATGCAGAGACCCTAAAAGGAGTCAAATATGGACACTGTCCTAACTGGTTTTAGTTGGTCGCTGATTATACATGAATTATAATTTAAAGCCTTAATTAAAAACCTTTCCACTGGCAAATAAATGTCAGAAAAAATAACAGAAATGACAACTGTTGGCCGTAAGTTCATCAGGAGACGAGCAGAGGTAGCAGCAGCGAGATTAAAAGCCACTTAATCACTCCACCAAAGTGGCACTCTTAATTAAACCCTAAGGTGGTGTAGTGTGGCTGGGCAGGGCCGACTAACAAGGGATGAATGCTTTAGGATGGAGTGGGGCCCATGGCCACAGAACTGTCATTGACAACATCAGCAGAAGCAGCAACAGCAACGGCAACGGCACCGGCAACAGCAACAGCAGGTACTACAAAGTGTGGACCAGGTGCAGTGGCACAATCCACAAAACAGCTATCTAGCTTCTCTCGGCTGGCAAATGGCACTGGTCTGGCAGCCCCCCAGCCAGGATGGTATGATGCAATGATGCCAGGATGCGAACACTGAACACAGCAGGGCCAAAGGTGGACACTCACATGAACAAAGTGAAAGTGGAACGATGTCGAAGCCAGACTGAGACCCGGAGCCAGAGCCAGAGCTGTTATTACTTTTGTCCAGAGTCGCATTTTGAGTTCAAATATTGACACAGACTCCAGGCAGAAACCAGCGGCAACAACAGTTACTACAGTGACTACAGCAGCTGAGGAATTTGCTACAAAGTCAGATATATATCTGGCTTAATGGATTCCTAAGTGGCGGCATGCACTGCAAAGTGTGCTAGACAAATATCAAATTTCCAGAGAAGCCAGCAAATTCCTGGACAAACACTGATGATTAACAGCCGAGAGCGGCAGTGTGCTTTAGAGCTGGCGAAACCTACGTTTGATGTTTTTCTCTTTTTCAATAAATTTCTGGCCAAAAGCTGTGCAACCTGCAGCAACAGCTGCAGGAATTTTCCAAATTGTCAGTTTTCCGCCTGGCCAACGCTCGTGGCCTTTGAATGGCGAATGAACATTTCTGGCCCAGCATGAGAGCGGTCGGAGGCCATTTAATTAGAACGATCCATCCAGAACGAGCCATCCGCCATATGCACACACGGGACATGACATGGCATGTTTTACCAGATTACAGAAAATCTGTTAATTAAATCGAACGATGGAAATATCTGTGTGCTAGTTATGGAGGAGTGCACTCTATGCCAAATAAAATTTTAATAGCTACACAATTCCAAGTAGATGTTGAGTGTTTTGCGCTCTCTTGGAAGTGCCCCTCTCGACTGTTGCATTCTGGGAAAATGCTAATGGGGCGACATAGTCGTACTTTCAGTTTTACCAGCAATCAACAGTTGGCTCCCAGCCACTTGGCTGTTTAAAGTTGTTGTTCTCTGGCAATTAGGTGGAGTCACAGAACTCTCGCACCACCACAAGAATACACACAGATATACACACAATTGACAATAAGCAGCTCACTTGGGCGTACATACATATATGTATGTACATTCACACATATAGAAAGGGACCACGTTCTCTCTATCTAATTGCTAAGATGGCGGCTACTACTCGTACTGCGCTTGGCTCCTGCGTCCTGTCTGTTGGCAGGATAATGAGTTTTCCATTAGCGCTTGAGTGCGGCAATGGCAATATTTGCCAAGCGTCTTGACTGCTTAAGTGAAAATTTAATTAAAGCATAAGTGAAATGGAATTCCCAAAACCTAAGCCCCCTCGGCGAACGTGATTGGCGTGCAATCGAAGTTATCCCTGGTTTCCAGCCAAATACATATTTGATGAGACGAGACCGAAGCATGCAAAGTTTGACAACTCCATGTCACAGCACCAGCAGCTACAATGGCAACAAAGGCTGTCCAACTTTTCTTTATAGCCATTCATTCGGAAGAACTTTTCCTAAAGGAAATGGAAAACTTATGGGAAAACCACATGTGAGATGGCCCAAGTGATGGCCATATTTGCTTTGGTAGTTTCCTAGCCTTGAATTAAATGTTTAAATTTTTTTCCCCCACACACAGCCACAATATTGACAACTTTAAGACAAGTTAAGGCATAAAAGCTGACAGGACCTTCCTCGCCTCACTGCCTGAATGCCAGCCTGTCTGCCACAGATCCGATCCCCCTTCACTCTGTCTGATTTATAGCATATGACAAGCCCCGAGGAGGGTAATATATGCGTGTGTTTATTTTAAAGAGGCAGAACGACATTTCGGGAAACTTGATGTTTGACGAGAGCCAAAAGGCAGTTTGTCACTCGCTTTATTACGTATACGCCGTGTGGATTGTGGCCTTTACCCGATATAAACTTTTCATTAGAGTGGAAATTTTATGGAGATTTATGCGAGCGTGTCGTGCCTGCACGTAGATAAGCTTTCAATTAGAAAATTAGCATATCAAATGCAGCTAATTCACACATCAAGAGCAGGAGGCCATAAAAGATGTAGCCATTTCAATGAATATTTAATGCTTCAAGTAATCTGTTGGGCACATTAGTATTGTGGTCTGTTCATGAACTACTGACTTCATAGCTTCATAGAGACAATTCCTGTGAGACAAATTACAGATACCAGCATTAAATGATCATAACAGTATTTGGGGCTCACAAATTCCACAGAGCGTTAAATATAAACAGCTTCTGGGGACAACTGCGAGCACAAAGCGGCTTTAAAGGGACTCGGAGTATACACAGCCCTAGCTAGAAGCCCAAATAATTAGGACATAAGTCGGAGAGGCATCCACATTAACGTTTGGCAGTTTGTCAGCAATAAATCCTGCACGTAAATTATGCGGAACAAGGCCCTGGCATCAATCTTGCTACCATCCAGAACACTGGTAGCAGCTTTGATGACACCTCCACCTCCCTGCCGAAATGTACAGAAATTAGACACATGTTTCACATGCGAACGAGGCCTATATACAGTGGATGCTGGATGCTGGATGCTTCCTGGAAATCGTAAGCCAATTTTAATTGAGCCTCTTTGTTTTGTCACTTTGCTTCAAAGGAACGGAAAACCGCGTGCACTCAAAAACAAGAGGGAAAAACCCTGACCTTTTTCCGGCATCAGGAAAAGGGTTGCAGGCTGTTCCGACACAAGGCGCAATTCGCTCGCTGTTGAGGAGCAGTAAACAAGTTCTGTTCTCCATATAGAACCTCATGAAACACCAACATTTGTCATGTTTTGTGTGCCGCTCTCCCTTCCGACAGGCAGGTTCCATTTTCCTTCGCCGTTTTTTGGTTTAAGTAAAAAAGAACTCTTTACCTTTGGTATTATTCTTGAAGGAGAACCCGAAAGTAATTTATTTGCTTTCCCTTTAACCTGCTCCTGGATCCTTTGTCGGCCGTGTTATTTTCCTTTCTTTTCTTCTTTTATGAGATTTTTAATTTGAAACTCGTCTGCACTGCCAACGGAATATGGAAAGGCAAATAAAAATTATGGGATTGCTTGCAGATGGACTGTGTGTGTACTGTGTAAGACATACTTGTTAGCGAAAGAATAATATATAAAAGTGGGGAGTACAAAGGGGAACAGAGTAATAAGCACTCTTTCGTACCATCTGTGTGCGTATATTTGACTTTGAGAAATGAAAACGTTCCAATTGCCAATCTCCCAATATACCCCCAATTTTGAAGGCTATGCGACAGACCGGGACTGAAATAGTTGTCAGGACAACGATTCGCGTGTAAATAAATCCCCAAAGAACTGCCCAGTGTGCAAAGCGATTAATATTTCAGCGATGAATCCAGAAAACTGGAATCGAAGGGCGAGCAAATGCGAAATGGAGCAGTCAAAAGGTGGACCATAAAATTCAATTCAATTAGCGAAGCATTTAAAGCCTCTCATTTAACCAGGGCTAATCAACTTAATTAGCGGTAGGTAAAGGATTAAATGGCTGGGAATCCTGTTCCGCCCAAACTTTCAATTGTTGTTTCCAACAAAGTGAAATTACGGGAAAGTCTAAATGTATTTAGCTGGAAAATTCGCTCCGGCTAAAGTTTTCCTCCCTCATTAACGGCTCAATGGGTGCAGTGGCAAAAAAGAAAAAAAAAAAAGTCAGAAGCCCCTCCCTACCCGCTATTTTCGTGCAAATTTAATTGTGGCCATAACATCGTGCTTTATCCGATACCACAAACTGAAACTGGTAAGTGGCAGTCCGTCCTTCACATGGGTTCTTACTCTGTGTTGATCTTTCATTGGAAAGGCCCCAATGTCACTTTAGTTATATATTTATTTTCTTTGATTTGCATTTGAATTTCGCTGTCAAAACTTTGGCATGACAGCGAGCGAGTGTCACTTGACATTTAGTAAGGAGGGCAGGGAAAGGGACATTACAAGGCAGCGCTTTGCCTTCTTGAATGTCTCACGGGAAAGTGAATCTGTCCGTTGGGGTGGGCGGAAGGGAATCTTGTTTTAAAGGAAACTTAAAATTAATGATAAATCGACTAAAATGTCTGGAGAGTTAACAGGCTTGACATTTGGTGTA